TAAAAAAAATTTAAAAAAAATTAACAAATTAAAAAAGAAAAAAGCATTTTCTTATGCTGCCTAGTTTCTCTGTCACTCTGTCTCCGCAGTGAGCCACGCTGAGCCTATTGAACTGAGCCCGGGGATCCCCAGGAGACCCTGCTGCCGCCTCCTGCATGCTGCCTCTTCTGCCCCTCAGCCTCCCTTTTCAAACGTCGCTATAAACAGTTGCTACATGTCACTTGTACTCTTTGTGTTATCATAGCATGCGCAGGCGTTGCATAAATCCATCACAGGAAAGACAGTCCTTGTTCCCAGAACCCACAGTCCAGCTGCTTCTGGCAGGGGCCATGGCCTGTGGCTCTAAAGGAGGGTTGATGTTTGCAGTGTAACTGGTTTTTTGTACCTCTTCTTCCAACACCTCTATTTCCGTCCTCGCTATCACTGCGCATGGATGCACACACACCTCTAGCATTGTTTCCATCCAAATTTTATCTTCCCACACTGTTTTTTTTTAATGGTTGCATTTTCTTGGAACTCTGTAGGAAGCCTGGTGTTATACAGGAATATCCTATCCTATCATATTGTCCTGATGGGGGGTAAATAGCTTGGAAGGAGGTGTACAAATGAAGTAGAGGTTTGCAGGGTCTCTGCAAATGAACACAGTATTCTTGCTCTGCTTTATAAAAACCAAGCTTGCTTCTGCTGACACCACTATATTTTTGCCTCTGATTTTCATGGGGACAGGACCAAGGGCTGTGGGGAACATGGGCAGAACTGTTTTTCTCCTGCGGATTTGCAACCTAAGGTCCCTTATTCTTCCTGGTTGCAGAACGTTGCGATGACTGGGGCGTGGACACCATGAAGCAGATCCAGATTTATGATGGGGAACCTGCCAAGATCAAATGCCCACTTTTCGAGACCTTCTTGAAGTACAACTACAGCACAGCACATTCTGCTGGCTTAACCCTGATCTGGTACCGGATCGGGCAGGACCGGGAACTGGAGGAGCCCATTAATTTTCGTCTCCCAGACAATCACATCAGTAAGGAGAAAGACACCCTTTGGTTTTGGCCTGCTCTTCTCAACGACACTGGGAATTACACGTGCATGCTCAGGTAGGTTGTGCGGTGCAGCTTCTGTATGTCTTCAGCATAATCGAAAGACTTTCATGGAATTGGGAAAACTATGCTGTTAGCACCAGATCTTTCTGTAGGGAGAAGACCATTTACATAAGCATTAATGGGAAAAGAATGTTACAATTATAAGACCGCTCAGTGCTGAACCAATTTACATTGTAATAATGCTCAGAGCCTTGCAAACATTAATGAGCATGCCTCTCCTTTCGAGCTGCAAGTGTCCATGAAAATATTATTGCTGAGCCCATGGCAAAATCCACAGGCACTTACCATTAAGAAGTGATCTGTATGTCTAGAGTAAAAATAGCTTCAGATGCAGGGGTAATGTTTTGCCTGCATGCTAATTTGGCAAGGATTCATGAGATTCAGACTTCTAGGAAATTAAAAGTGTCTCTAAGTGTGGTACAAAATGAACGTAGCATCTGCTATGCACTGAGCACAAGAGCTCTTTTTGATCTTCCTCACGTTTTCTCTTGTTCATCGTGTCTTTGACCCTATTATCTGCTTTACCAGCAGGGGAGTGGATATTGCTTGTTAGTCATCTTTATAGGCTTTTCTGAGCTAGTGTGGCCATCTCTGATGGTGTTGTCTTTCCCACATATAAATGAGTCAACTAAGGCTGTATATACCTCATCAGCGCTATGATGCTCATTATTGCAGATGTGATTTTTATTTCATTCCACTGCTATAGAAGCAAACAAGTTTCAACTAATCGGCCCTATTCTCCTCTCTCCTTAGAAATACAACTTACTGCAGCAAAGTTGCATTTCCCTTGGAAGTTGTTCCAAAAGACCAACACTCTTGTGTAAGCCACTCAATAAAACCCATTGAGGAGATGTTCTACTTGGAGCATAACAATGAGAAGATCATATGTCCAGATATTGATGGGTTTTACCCTGCAAGTGTAACACCAACTGTCAAGTGGTACTTTGTAAGAAGAACTTTTGTCTTATCTGGGTGGTGGGGGAATGCAGTGTTGTTTCTGAAAAAGCGATGGTTGTCATGAGAATCATGGAGCTACATTTCAGTGTCTCTCCAGTGATGAAGCTGTTAATGCAGCTTTACTAATTTTAAGAGCTTTGTTTCCATTGAGTTCAAGGATAAAACTGCCCTTGGAGGAATTTGAATAATTGAGAGCTAACACTGTAATTTTTTTGACCAGCGTGTGCAAGAAGAGAATACTGTAATAGGGATTTAGGAACCTCAGTTCAGCTGCTGACAGTATACCTGACCTTCTGTGTAAGCAAGGCACTATCCCCATAAAGGAAACTGTGATTCATAGTCCCTCTTCTGTAAAAAAAATGACCAACCAAAAAAAAAAAACACAACCCCAAAACACCAAACAAAAAAAACCCCCAAAACACCAAACAAAAAAAAACCCAAACAAAAAATCCACCTGCTAATGAAAATAGCTTCCTTTCCAAAATCTTCTGAGGTCAGGAAATGAAGTTGTACATCGGGCCTCTGCAAGGACCGTGGGTGCCCTCTTTGACACAATCTGTCAAACCTTTTCTGAAGATAGAGACATCCCTACCCCACCCTCCATACTGCTCTGATAATTAGGCTGTTTCCAGCTATCCTCTGGCTCTTGCCTACAGCATTACTGCTCAGTATTATTACATTTTGACCTCAGTGTTTTTCTCTAGATGGATGCCTTTAGTCAAGAGAATAAGAACTCTCAGCGGATCTGCAGCCAGAGGGTTATGGGACTAAATCCTGTAACTTATAAAGCGCTTTTGCATTTCTAGATAGGAAAAAACCACCCTCTAAAACCCTTCGGGAAAAACTTGCTTTTTTATCCAAGAGGATCAGTTTCACTCCGGTAGTTGAAATACTTTACTTGTACCATTCATTGATATTCAAATCTCAGAATCAATTAGCAGAATGAAACAAAAAGCCCCATGGAAGTAATTTTTCAGGCAGCAAGTCATCCCATGCCTAATAAAAATCATTAAAAATGGTATATGACCCCTGTCTTAAACTGCCCCATTAGAATGTATCTGATTTGGAAATGTACCATTCGGAAATAATCTCTTAGAAAATATGCACATCTTTGGGTTTTATGACAATCAAGAAGTCATCTGCATAACCCCTTTCTGAAAAGGGATCTCTGGCTTGGTACTTGGCAGAGGTTTCCTGCCTTGCCTGACAGAAAGAGAAGAATTATTAAGGTTTCTGTACTACAGACTCTCACTTGCCAGTTGCCAATTTTGGGGCCTCATCCTCAGCTGAAGTCAGTCAGGGTAGCTTGATTAGTCCCGAAAGATTTAGACAACGATGACATCAAAGGGGGATATGTCCTTTAGTCTTGGTATCCATTCATGAATACATCATCATTTTCTTCCTGTCTCTCTCTACTTTCACTCTTTGCTCTGCTGAGGTGCTCACCTTGATTGCAAATGTACTTCTGGATCAGAGATGTCTCTTTTATAAAATTGTCTGTATTTAAGGCGGGATAAATCTATTAGGGTCATCTGCTTCATCGCTTCATTTTCAAGGTGAATGTACCAATTTGTATTCCAACGTGCTCAAAGTTCATGGTATTTAGGTCTGACCTACATCACAATTCCAAGTATTATATTCATAGTTTAAAAACAGATCTCTGTAGTAGCATTTAAACCAATATCTTTACTTTTGAATCCTGTAACTCAAGTGTTTTTCTGCCTAACTCCAGAACTGCAACTTGGTGGATGGCTTCTATGAGCGATATCCTCAAGGGCCCAGGCTTGTCATCGGCATTGTCCGCAGCGCATATAAAGGAAATTACACTTGTATTGTGACATTCAAGTACCACGGAAGAACCTATACTCTCACCAGAACCATAATGATGAAGGTGGTGGGTAAGAATGACTTTAAAATGTGTAAAATGCAGGTGAATAACTGCAGAAATGGTGGAAACAGGTAGAAGAGTCTGTCACAGGATCCATTTGTGGTTGTGCTCAATCTGCATCACCCAGCTTGACCCGATATATTTTTGCTTGCTGGGATCAGCCTCCTGTGGCTGCCCAGGACACGTTGCACTGGAGGTCCTACCCACCACCATGTTACATGCCCCAAACAACACAGAGGGTGACCAGGCTTAGGCTGGTGAGGTACAGCCCATGAGATGGCCAGGGGTACCCTCTGCTGGCGTGTGCCTGCATAACCCTGGCACTCTTGCTCATTTTTGTCTCCAGTGCCCTTTGCTCGTCATTACTCGTGGGATTGTCCCATTTTGGCTAACTTGCCTCCGTCTTCTTGCAATCTCAAAGCCTTATGTGCTGAGGTTGAGACTGCTAAGGGGGCTCCAGTTACGCAGCCCAGTGCTTGGACAGGTCCATCCCAGGCACAAGGGCTCAGCCTGCCTGGCAGGGAATTGCAGACAGAGCTTAAAAACCTAGTAAAGAGTAGAGCACATGCTGAGTCCCATGGCAACTGCTGCTTCAAGAGCTGAATTAGATATTTGAGAGGAAGTGATGTTTGTATTTTGTTTTTTAGAAGCAGCAATAAAAAGAAACTGGTACAGGTTGTGTCTTGTGGGAGATGAGAGGGGTATGGAGCTCTTCTGATGCGAGAGGCCCAAAAACTTGTATCTAGACTTACCTAAATTTTGAGGAGCCTCAAAATCTGGGCGTGTCCCTGAGTTTGGGGACTAGATTGCATTTCTCTTTGCGTGGAACTCTGCAGCGGGATTGTGTCACAGGTTAGGCTGGGGCATGCGCAGTGGGGCGTGAGGGCATCGTGAGCGAGGCTGCAAGGACCTCAGGTTCTCATGAAGTCTGGGTCCCCGCATGGGGCTCGCTCTCTTCTCGCCCGCAGGATCTCCAAACAAGGCCTTGCCACCACAGTTCACCTCTCCAAATGAGAAAGTTGTCTACGAACTGGAAGCAGGTAAATGGCAACGCGTGCTGCCTGCCGTTGCTGCCCCGGACGGGGAGACGCAGCCAGGCTCAGAAGCTCTCCCCGTCCGCCGCGTCCCCGGCGCTTTCCCTCACAGAGCACACGAGCTGCCGCGAGTTGCCTGGCAGGCAGCGTGGGGTGCCAGTTCTCAACGCCAGAATAGGAGAGCACAGCTTTCAAAGTTTATTTTTGCAAGCACAAGTAAAGATGGATATTGAGGCACAGAGATGCGGGACCGTAGGTGCAGATGCAGACGAAATGGGGACCCTCAGCTGCTTAAAGAAAATCCTGTAGGACCTTGTCTCGGCCCTGTCCCTGGCTGTGGTTTGCTCCAACCCTCCCTTATTCAGCCCATCAGTGGCTTCAGCCTTCTGGCAACTTCTTGCTTATCTCCTCTCCCTTTTTGGCTGATTACTTCCTAATTAATGACAGCTCTGCTTTTGCTGGCCTCACAGCATTGTGTAACGGGGTACCACACCCCTTCCCCCCACCCTGTCTGTTTAGACTGATAGTTCTTTGGAGCAATTCCCTGTACTGAATGGATCATGTCCCATCACATTGCTCTGATAGATGCGGTGCCAATGACAATAATTAGCAGCAAGGTCTTCACTTTAAAGCAGAGCTTTTTTGGCTCAGAAGGCCAGACTTCTTCCATAGACACTCTATCAGCTAAAATCACTTATGGGCTGATCACAAAGATGTTCACACTCCCAAAGCCTGATCTTGAGGTTAATGCCTGAACAAGTGGTCCCACACCAAAATGCTTTTGTGGAGCTGCATCTTTCGCTTTATGGCATCTGTCCCCTCTGTAGTGGGGCTGATTAATACCGCCTGGCTTTCCAAGGAAGTAGTTGGCATGGAGCTTCTCCCTCTGGGTGGGCCACTTGGTGCAGTCAAGGAATTTGTAACACATTTGAGGAGGGAGGATATTTTTTCCTATTTATTTGTCTGTCATAAATCAACATGTCCGTGATGTCACCACTTGCACTGTGATCCTTTCTTCCCAGGAAATGACCTTGTTCTGTCCTGTGAGGTCTTCTTCACTTTTCTGAAGGACTCCCGGACTGAGGTGTGGTGGACCATAGATGGGAAAAACACAGATGACATCATGGACCCCAAGATAAAAGTCACACAAAGGTAACATAGCGATGTGAACCTTCATTTGTATCTAAGCCTCTCTTGGGTCCTGCAGAGGCGTGTGGGTACAGACATGTGATAGTCCCATTTTCCCTTGCAAGTGAGTGTGGAGTCCCCCACTTCCCTGATGAGCTCCAGGGAGGAGCCCTCCAGATCTGGACAGTGTCTCATCTTTGTTGTGCTTTAACGTTTAATCCCAAATCCAAAACATAGCCTCGTACACGTTAACCATACTAGGTTCTATGAAGAAAATTAACTCTATCCCAGCCGAAACCAGGGCAGTATTACAGAAGGATTTGAGGGAGCTTTGTTTACCAGTTCACATCCTCACTTGTTCAGGTCCTGGTAGTGGTGCCAACAGCTGGTGCTATTGTGGGACTTCTGAAACAGGAGCAGACACAATTTTATTTGGAGGAATGTTCTCAAATAGTATAAGTAATAAAAAAGTTTCAAAAAACAGGCTGAAAGCAAAAAAGTAGTATTATACATAGTATTGATTAGGAGGAACATCAATTCAGTTACATAAAGAAGCCAAATGAGGTTCAGAGTCCCATTTGCTGGGTGCTGAATTGCCCGTGGAAGGCAGTCGCTGCCCCAACCGGTTTGCAAACCTATGTAGAAAAAGGAAAGGCAAAAGGAGATGCTATTATCCCAATTTTGCAGATGATCAATTCAGGCAGAGAGACAAAGTGACTCATCCAGGATTGCACAGGGAATGTGATGTGGGCTCTGAACCCTGAGTTCATGAGATCTTCTTGCTTTGTAGGCCAGAACTTCTTTTATCTCTGAAATACAGTGTGACACAGATGCAATGAGAAAACTATGAGTGGCAAAATAAATACTAAGGAAAATCAGATAAAGGAATAGCTGCAGCTGTATTAAAATCTGAAGCGTGTATCAATTTATAAATATCAGTTTAGGTGTTTTGTTTTTTTTAAAGAAAGAGTCAGGTTATGTCAGGGAAAGGAGTATTTGTCACTAAGAACTTGCTGTAGTTTCACATATGTAATGCTCTGGTTTTTCTCTTACAGTGAAATTACTAGAGATTTTGAAGACAAAACTGTCATAAGGACTCTAACAGTTGCAAAAGCCACACCAGAGGACTTGAAACAGAATTATACTTGCTATGCTAGAAATGCCAAAGGCGAGGACCATAGCCAGGCCATAGTGCGCATGAAAGGTAAAATACCTGCCGAGCCTGGGTGTGAAATGAAGCATGCTCAGAGAGGGCTGTCGGTCCTGCCTTGAGCCTTGCCCTGCAAAACAGTAGGGGAGCAAATAATTCCATTGGGCCTTTTTCCCCAACACACGCTGTTCTGGATGCGCTGCTGCTGCTGTATTATTGCTGTCACACTGCACCACTTCTTGAAGGCAGGGAGCGAAGGACACATGTCGCATACACCCTACCAGAGTCAAGTGCTTGGGGAGAGAGGGCTGGGTAGACCTGTTGTCCTTATCCCATCCATGTACCACAGCTGAAGCAGCTCTGAGGGGACAGGCTGCTCAAAATGATTTCAGGTTGCTTGATTGTGTGAGGATTTTGCGTGATGCAACAGCTGCCAGTTGGCATCCTCCCAAAGGCAGTACTCATTGACGTTGCTCAGAGAGTGAGTCTAACCATGACGCTCTGTGGATTTACTCTTTGCTGTGATGATGCTGCAGTCTAGATACAGCCATCTCAGCATGGATGGTATGGACTGATCCAGCTCTGTTCAGTGTGGGGTTTTTTCCTACATCTATCTTTCATCAAAGATTTTGTTCCTGTTTCCCAGACCCACCTCTCAGTAATAAGAACTGAGCTTTCACTATAGGTATTTGAGGTTTCCTGATTAAGGTGGATACTTCCGCCTCCTTATCAACCTCATCTAGAGCTTCAACACTTGCTTGTTGTAGATTGGGCCTCCCCTCTCCCATAAGGGATGCTGCCCTGCCTTGTGTAGCTCATGCCAGATACCTTCTTTCCCCTGCTCTGCCCTATTAGCATGGGGAGGCTCACAGAGGTCTTTACTGAAACAGCTCTTTCTCTTCCTTCTTGGTACTTGACCTCCTTCCTTTTAGTCCCATTCCTTTGAGACACATTAGGAAGGAACAATAGACCAAACACACAACTGAGACAGGCTGAAACCATCTGCCAGTGTTCATCCTACATACATAATTCTTCTGGGATGATGTTTGTACATGTAGCAGAAGCAAATCTAATATCTTCAGATTCTTTCTCTATACAGCAGTGCCTAAATGCAGTTTTCTGGTGGACTGATCTGTACTAGCCTCTCTCTTCCTCCCCCATCTGCTACTGGGCAGCTGAGCGGGCTTGCTCTGGGCAGACCTGGTTATTCACCACTCCTCCTTTCTGCTCTGTTCCACAACAAAATCCAGGAACCATCCCTGACCACTGCTGGCAGAGCTTAAGCTAAGCTCACTGCAGACCATCCCACTGCACTTAGGAACATTAAGCATGCCAGAACCTAACCCCTCAGCACTTATCTTCCAGTTTTTAGCAAGTAGCTATATAAGTTGGCTCCAACTCTTTCATTACATTAGGTTATATATGTTTCCTGCTTTTTCTAGATGATTTCCCTCTCCTGCTCATGTACTTCTGCTGCTCATCACCTAATGAAAAGTTGTTAAATTCCTTCCATTTTCTTTTTTGTAATTCAGTTTCCAAGATTTAATAAGTTTTATTAGAATTTGGTGATGTTTCCACTCACTGCTGTTCTCTTATTGTGCATTTTGCTAGTGTGCATGTCAGCTGCCACCTGAATTGCCATAAAAACGGAGTTGCCCAGGGATACAGTTAGAAGTGTTATTTTCTGTCCTTAATACAAAGAAGTAGCAGTGGTATGACAGTCACTGTATGAGTTGGAGGGGTGCCTGTGATATTCTGGCTTGATGTCCACAGGTTGTCCTATTTGTTTGCAAGCATTTCAGCTTTTCTGTAATGAACTTGGATTCTTCTTTTGTGGTAGAAAACAATCAGGCCGTGGCTAGTTATATCCTTGCTGTCAGTCTGGGACACACACAGTTCTTGTGGCTTATCTGATGGGGAGGGAAAATGGTGGCCATTGCCTTTATTTTGCTGCAGGTGAGCTTTGACTGGCTCTCCTAGAAGTAAACGCTGTTGTGTTGCCCCAAGAGCTTGCATATGCTGCTGAGAAGTCACGTTCATGAGCTGGCTTTGGACTGTGCAGGTGGTTTCCATCAATAGGTCATTCTACCATCTGGCTGCTCCCAGGGTCTTGCACAGGGGCAGGAGTCCAGCCTGCGCTTTGACTTGCTTTGCCAGCCCAACCAGACCTAGTAACCCAGAATGGGGACTCCACGGTGGCCATCCATCACAAGTCCTGCCAGAAAAGCCTTGGCTTGGCAACCTTCCTCTGAAGGACCAGGTTGGCTTTTGGCTGTTCCTCTGTCGTCTTTGACTGCATGTGACACAAGCTTGTTCCTGCTTAGCTGAAGGCCCAACCTGTTCTGTAAACCAGACCCCCTCTTTCTATTCAAACCCAGTTGTAGCACCGAAGTACACCGTGGAGCTGGCCTGTGGACTGGGGGCAACCATCCTGCTTGTTGTGGTGCTGATAGTCGTCTATCACGTTTATTGGCTTGAAATGGTCCTCTTCTATCGGGCTCATTTTGGAACAGATGAAACCATTCTAGGTAAGGAGTTAAAGGGCTTACATTTATTTTATCCTGCTGCAGGACAGACCCTTTGTTTTCATATAGGAATTTTCATATAAGCTATTTTTAACCCTCTTCACAGCATAATGAGATTTGGACCTTCTATTTCTATACCTGCACTCAGTTGTGTGGGTTGTTGTAGAACAAGAGGAGTCAGGCTTGTGTCTGGGGAAAGAAGAGAGGAGTCCTCTGTATTCTCTGCAGAGGTGAAGCGTGTATGTGTCAGGCTCCCTGGGGGACCGCCCTGCCAATGGCTAGCTGTTTCATCTGATCTAGGTGGTCAAGATAAGTCACCAAGTTTCAGTAAGTCCCTGGTTTCTCTGGTGACTATGTAAGGATTCACAAATCCAGGATGATTTGCTTTAAAATGTGGGAAGGCATCCAACAGGATCGATGTGTAAATCACCCTTCTGTCCTCAGTTCTTCCACAGCTTCCCTGTGCTACTGTGGGAGTTCACCTCTTGGGATTCTGAGCTGAGATTTCTTCCTCTGTGGGATGAGGAGGGTGTTCAAGCCCTCGCAGCTTGCGGTGTGAACCTGCCAAGGGGGTGCGGAGGTTCTCGGAGGGTGTAGGCAGGGCGCAAGTCTCTGTCTGGTGGGACTGCTCATGTGGATAGAGAGCAATGAGAGGAAGCAATGTCAGCGATGTCAAAAGACAAAAGGACCCTGGACAGAATGGGTTGGTCATCTTGCTGTCGTCTCGTGTCTTCAGCAACTCAGCAGTGTCTGGGTGCCTGCACATTCAGGCTGGGTAGTCAAAGAGGCAGCGTCGCTGTCTTGTAACTATGGAAATTGATGTGTTTTAACCTGCGGTGCCTGGGCTCAAAGCAAGCCTTCATACCTGCTTTTCCTGTGAAGCAAGTCAAAGGCTCAGCATGTGCAGTATCACAAGTGTCTCTTCTGCCGTTTGTGTTTCTCTGCGCTTCCAATGCTCAGACGGGAAGGAATACGATGTGTACGTGTCCTACGCACGCAATGCGGAGGAGGAGGAATTTGTGCTGCTGACACTGCGGGGAGTCTTGGAGAACGAGTTTGGGTACAAGCTGTGTATCTTCGACAGAGACAGCCTCCCTGGGGGAAGTGAGTATTTCATAGGGGACTGTGCTCCATGTGCATCCACTGTTGTTCTTTGAGGTACTGATAATTTATAGGAACTGCCCTATCCAGATTAACTTTATCCTTTATTTTTTCCCTATCTCTGTTAACAATCCCTTGTTGGTGTCTTCTAATGTTTTTGCTTCACGTGACAATGTCACAGATGCTCCAGGCCACCAGAAAGGCTGCGGTGGGCAAATGGTGCTTGTTGGTCATTTCAGTTGGTCTCCCCAGGAGTGATGTGCAGGAGTGATTGATCTATCAACATGAGGGAACTGGACCTTCATGCAAACACTCAGCTGCCTTAAAAAAAGGGGATAAAGTCAAGGCTAGAAAGAAGAGAGGCGGGGGAATGTGATACTGGACCAGACTGGTACCTCACAGAGAGTAATGGTGAGTGCCTGTAAGGACCAGGAGTGTCTGCTTCAGAGAAGTGTGGAGAGCACCGTGCCAACATCAGTGAGAAGATAACATGGCCTCCCACTCACACTCATTAATTAGAGTGTCTGTGTCTAACATGGCATACAATTAAGTTGCTATGATTAAGACTACTTTGATGCAGGTAGTGAGACTCATCTCTTCATGAAGCTGTAGATTTTTTCCACAGTTTCAAGCTAAACCAGACAAGGTTCTGGACACAGTGTCTGCTAGAGGGACGCAGGGAGTCACCAAGAATGGAAGTTTATGAAACTCCCCAGATACATGTAGAGTCACAGGTGCCACAGCAAGGGCACAAATCTAGCCAACACTCTCAATTTCCAGTGTCCTGGAGGATGAGTTTGCTGTGTGATCCCTGATGCCTACTTAAAGTTCAAAGCCTGAACTTTTGCCAGTGCAGACCGCCCCACTTTGAATTCGTGTGCTTTGGGGCAGGACCCCACTGATGACAGAACCTGTGCTGATAAAGTCCGTTGGGGTCCCTTTTGGGTAGGACATGAGGGACTGCTGGAGTCCCAGCCCAGCTGCAGCAGGGAAGCAGAATCAGTCTGGGATCTTTTATCTTTATCTCCTAGATTGTTGGCAGGACACAGGACCTCTAAGTTTGAGGTCAAATAAATATGTGTACCTCAGGGGACAGGGAGACAGCTGTGATCCTGATTCTGTTCCTTATAGAGAGAGCTGGATGACATGGTAGGGTACCCTCCAGGCTCTATTTGCTTGGTGCCACCCCCTGAGCTGTTCTCACCAGTTGTTCCTCAAGACGTACATCTCCCTCCCGTTTGCTCCACCACTTCTTGACATCCTTCCCCTTTCCCTATGGAGGGTCTCTTTTTCTCTTCCCAGTGCAGGTCTCCTGGGTTCCCTGCCATTCACCCTCACTCCCGGAGCGCTCCCATCCCTGCTCACCGTGGCAGTCGCTGCCAGCCTCAATCCAGCGCCAGCCCTCCAGAGCGCTGCTGCGGTGGCTTCTCATTGCGCTGCCATCTGCAACACTGCTGGGGCTTCCCCATCGCTTCTTAGCTGGGATTTGACTAATCTTCTTCTTGGGGAAGATGGCAGGCCAGGAAGTAGCTTTTGGTAGCTTTTTGGCAGTTGCTTTTGGCACAGAGTGTGCATCTGTGTCACCAGTAGAGAGTTATGTTGTCCTTGATGAAGAAACAGTAGGAGATGGATTATCCTGTGAGTTTGCTGACAGGAACTAATCAAATGTGCTTGACAGCTAAATGAAGTTGCCTGTCAGAATTATTTTATTCTCTGTTGTATTTTCTGAGCAGTCCAGAGCATTCCCTTGTTGATGAAATGTGGGAGATCCTGCAGCAGAGAGTGCAAGCACCAGGATTCACACTTACGAGGAATTTTCACATTAATTACAGGGGAGTGCCTAAGGACAGCCTACCTGCAGATGTTAGAAAATCAAAGAGGACCCACAGTAACCACAACATGTCTCCAGCTCAAAGGGTGTCACTTTTGGGACACTTCATTAAAAGTCCTCAGGGCAGTTTACTTGTCACTTTTAGAAACACTCAAATCTGCTTTCATTGATGACAGCAACAGGAACAGCTGGATGAGTAACAGCAGTTAGGATGGTAGTATTTCCAAAGCAAATTAACCCGTGAGGACACTCGGGGAGGGT